GAAGAAGGTGGAAGCCACATACAGTCCGGTCAGCGCGTAGAGCGGAGTTACGACATAGCGAAAGGCCGAATAACGTTGAAATAGCCGCTGCCATACGTAAAAAGTATAATGGCGATTATCTGCGAGGATGTACTTGTGCGCCACTGTGCAGCAGTGTACTGAGGCTATAGAGAAAGCCGTCAAGGAGAGGAGTAGAAACAATAGAAGGAGAAGCCGTCGCGGAGTAAACAACGATCGCGCCAACTGGAGGAGGAAGAGGATGAAACGGAGGGGCGTCTGTGCGGCACAAAAGGCCAGAAAGTAAAGCAACTGTGGAAGATGGAGAGTGAATTCGTGGGAGCTACGGTCACCTAACACAATGCCCCCGTTCCACCACACGAAGGCCATGAATAGGCCTCCCACAACGGTGAGTAGCGGTGCATCATAGACGATGCCTTTGAAAACAGCACGTATTATTTGAACTGGTGAACGAAGAAGGACAAGGAACCAACCGAATAGAGAGACTTTGGTCGAGCTGCCGCGTTTCCTACATAGAGAAGACAACCTGAAGGCAATGTTCATACCTACAAGGCAGGCACACCAAACAATGTTGGTCTGCCGCACAGCACAAGCAAAACAGGCCAGGAAAAAGGTGGTTAAATGGCCTTTGGACAGGAAGGCCAAGGCAGTTGCAAGGACTGCCGCGAGCGAAACCTGATCAGTGTAGAAAAAGAAGGAGGTGAAGAAGAGTACTGGCAGTGTGACTATGCTGGTAATGTGAAGCAAGTGGAGAGGCAGAGGCAAACGATAAAGGTGCGACGAGATACTGGAGAGGAGGAAAGCATTCACACCCAAATGGAGTGCATTGAAGTAGCGAAACTGCGTGACAGTTAGATTCTGTCTGGCAGCATCTTTGAGGAAGAATTCCTGGGGTTTTAAAAAGACAGCAGTAAGAAGGTAGAGGCCGGGTGGGGTGGTTATTTTGGAGTCCCATTCGAACCATCGTCCGGCCAAGTAAGCCTGAGTCTGTTTCTCATGGAAGTACTCATCCATGTATGCGGTCGGTTGCACGTCATTGGTCAGGTAAACTAGGTAGCAAGCAATTGCTGCATGTAGCAGACCCAAGAGCAGGTCAACATGGCGACGCTTCATGACCTGATTGAAGAGAAAAAGTTGATTGCTGAATTTTAAAATAATTCAGTCTGAAAAAGGAATACGAATAGAACTTACTTTTTTTTAATTTCCCCATAGAACTGACAAAGTACAGACGCAGGGTTTTTTAATACTAACTGCGCCTGACAGCTCACGTCACACAGGTTAACTATTGTACTTATTTGTGACTATGGATCACCCTACATATTCGGAATTGTACATACTTACGGCACATTTGTTTTCGGATAGAACGACTGAATGCCTTTATTAACAGGATATTTGGTAAGAAGAGCAGCATTAAATAGTTGAGGACAGTTCTACAGGTAGACAATTTGTCACAAAAGCATGAGCTGAGAAACATCAAAATGAAACATGGAAAAACTGCCCAATGCACGAAAGAAACTCCCATTTTACAAAAAAAGGCTTGCAATCTTAGTGATCATTCGACTGATTTTAATACTACAAAATTTACAAGACAGATTTCGATAAATTAAGAATCTTACCACTATCCAAACAAAGTAATATAACAGGGTACATCTCTGCCCCACTTAATCGCAACCCGCGTCAAACTTTTTCCATAGCTACGTAGATTAGAAACTTACAACGCCAGAACACACAATTACAGATTCCAAATTCTACGAAACCAGTAAGATTTTAGAAGCATTCAATACATAAAAAACGTTCGCATTATCTACAAATGCTTATGTAGTGATTCGCACATAATGTCTTGTTTCAAACTCAAGCTGTCTCCTCTGCTTAGCGTTTCGCCGAAAATATGTGGATATACGCCTCCGGTAGCCATGTGCGAAGTTTTAATGGAGCGTCAAGTATAAAAACCTAATAATTAATTGCAAATTCGACAACTGTTTGTGACAATTGACGTAAAAGACAGTTCCCAGTTGAGTGTCAGTCACTATGCGTGTACTTGGCAGTAAATCACGAGTGGCCTAAAATTGACGGTGGGTTTTGTGTGAAATCTTTTTATTCACAAGCTCAGGCTGGCTGACCTTGCAGTGAAGAAACCGTAACAGCTATTTTCGATTTCGCAGTATGTATTAATACATACATGTATTACATGTATTAATACATACGTATATACAAGGGGAATTCCCCTTGTATATACGTCAAAGCGAATAGCTTAACAAATAAATGAAATGCATGAAGGAATCAGAAGAGATGAAAACAGAACGCTTATAATGCAGATGATTTCGCTGTTGTTATAACGTTCAGTGAAAAATAAATAGAGGACAAAAAAATCTGATAAGGAAGTCCAAGGACAGTGTTATCCCCAATCCAAACAGCCAAATGCATAGAATAAATAACGTAAAAGCGTCTTCATTTCAAAGATGCTCGGAAAAATAGTAAACAAAAGCAAAAGGTCAAGACAAACTATCCGAGACACAATGACCACCCCATTCAAACGTGCGGCGCTAGCAATTTACTTCTGCAGCACATTTTCGGTGCAGTGAAACTGTATTGCACATTAAACGTGCACACAGTGGTATATGTATTAAACTCCAATATCAAAATCACATCTCAGTTAATCAGGGACATGATTTGTAACCATTAATTAAATGTCTCTCATTAAGAACGTGAGGTTCTTATTGGTTATGCCAAACATTCACAGGAAGAGTTGTCCATGAACGCGGAAACATGCAGGTCAGAACTGGGGAAATCCGAAATCATAAATTCAAGCTCCATATGCTTCACATAATGGTAAGCTCTTTTAGGAATATGCGAAATTATGACGTCCAATATAAGGTCCGAAAGGTTTGGCTGGAATATTGAATTAGGAGCGTAGATATTTTGGTTCAGTAT